TTCTCCTCTACAGATGCTGCCAGACCTGCTGAGCTTTTCCAGCAACTTTGTTTTTGTTCCTGATTTACAGCATCCACAGGTCTTTTGGTTTTTATTAATCTATGACTGTTGTAGACTCCAAGACAATACTGGACGTGACTTGAGTCTGTAATGAATGACTTACTTAGAGAGGCAGCCTCACTACATGTGACTTTAATACCAGTTTGAGATTCTCCAACCAGTGGAAACATCTTCCTGACACCTACCGTGTCAAGCCCCCTCAGAATCTTGTATGTTTTCTTCCTCATTCTTCCAAACGCTAATGAGTCAAGGCCTAACCTGTTTAGCTGTTCTTGATAAGTCAACCCCTTTGTCTCAGGAAACAGTCTAGTGAATCTCTCTTGAGCAGCTTTCAATGCTGGTATATCCTTTCCTAAATACAGGGTCCAAACTGTACACGGCACTCCATCTCACTAATACGATCTCCAGTTGTAACAAGACTTCCCTCAATTTAAACTCCAACCCTCTGGCAATAAAGGACAAAATTCCATTTACCTTCTTCATGACTTGCTATACTTCCGTGTTTAATTTGCTGTGATTCATTCACAAGAACATCTGGATCCCACTGCACTGCAGCTTTATGGAGTCTCCCTCCACTGAAATAATAGTCTGTCTTTTGAAATCTGCATCATGACGTCACACAGAAATGTGGTTCCTTGCCTTGGAGAAGAGGAGACTGAATGGGGGAGATGGTTGTGACATATTAAACTATGAGGTACATAGACGGGAAGAAATGTTACCTCTTGACTGAGGGATCAATGATCGGGGGGCATCAACCTAAGGTAAGGGAGACACGAGGAAACTTTTTTTTTCCAACTTAGAGGATGGTGGGAATCTGGAACTCAGTGCCTATAAGGGATTGTGGAAGCAGAAATCCTCATAACATTGAGGATTTATTTAGATGTGCACTTGCAATGCCAAGGCTTGCAGGGCGGTGGGCCAAATGCTGGAAAATGGGATTGGAATAGTTAGGTGGTTGTTTCTGACCAGCACAGACTCGATGATCCAATGGGCCTTCTTTAACTGCTGAGCTTTTCCAGCAATTTCTGTTTGTGTATTGCAGTCTATCCTTCCTCCAAGTCACTAATATAGATCATAAATACAGTCAATAAAACTCTTTCTAACCTGAGAAAGACCCATTAATCCTGACTCTCTGTCTTTTATGTTTTAACCTATCCCAAATCTTCGCTAATACATTACCCCTAATGCCACGAGCTCTTATCTTGTGCAACAACCTTTATGTGGCACTTTATCAAATGCTTTTTAGAAAGACAATCTACTAGCTCCCCTTCATTAGCTCTGCTTGTTACATCCTCAAGGAACTAAAACAATCTTGTCAAACATGATTTCCCTTTCACAGAATCATGTCAACCCTGTCTGATTGCATTAAGCTCTTCTAAATGTCATGCTATTTCTTCCTGAATAATGGACCTGACATTTTCTCAATGACACCTAATTAGCCCATAATTTCCTACTTTCTGTCTCTCTCCCTTCTTGAACAGGTGGTTCACATGACCAGTGATCCAATCGGCTGGAAACCCCCGATCCCCCACCAAGAATGCAGAGTGTTCAGGAATATTATGACCAATGCCTCCACTACCTCTGCGGTTGCTTCTTTTAAAACCCTTGGATGAAGGCTGTCAGGACCTGGACACCTGTCTAATCAGTTTGTTAAATTTCTGTTCCTTGTGATAGACATTGTTTCAAAATCTTTCCTCCCATTAGCACTTTGCTTATGAGATGTTTATATTGTCCTCCACTGTGAAGACCAATGCAAAATGTTGGTTTATCTGCTGTTTTTCTGTTCCCCATTATTAATTTATATAATCCATGGGTCTTACGCCTACTTTAGCTACTCTCTTTCTTTTTGTACACCCTTAGAGGCTGTTTTTATATTTCTTACCAATTTATTTTATAATCAATTTCCCCCTTCTTACCTTCTTTAGGAACCAGCAGAGGTTGACTAAAAAAAATTAATTGTCTGTCCTATCACGAGTTTTCACTGCGTTGTATGCTTTAGATTTTGATTGGGCACTATTTTTGATTTTTTTTAACGACGGGTGTTTCAATCTTCTCATCAGAGTCCTGTTTTTCACTGGAATAAACATTTGCTGAGCATTGTACAAATATCTCATCTTCTCAACCACTGACCTTAGTCTATTTTTGCAACATGCTTTAGATAATTCTGTAATTGCCTGCTTTTGAGTTGAGGATACCGGGTTGAGACTGGACTTGCTCTCCATCAAACTGAATTATGAAATTCTCCCAGGCTTTGATCACCGTGCCCTATAGAATGCTTAACCACAAGATCTCGTACTTATCCTACCACATTACTAGATCTGACACAGCCTGTTCCCAGGGTAGGTTCTTCAACATACTGCTCTAAGCAAAAATCAATGTTGCATTTCAGATATGTGAATATGATAGCAACGTTTAAGAGGCATTTAGACAGACACAAGCACGGAATAGGGGGATATGGATCACATATAGACAGATGGGATTAGTCTATCCATGCCAATCCATGTCTGGGCACAGCCAGATCCCATAAAAGTGCTGCAGATTGTACTGCTGCATCTGTTGCTTGAAAGGTACACATTGGGCCGGGAAGGCATGAGGATTGGGATGGGGTAGGTAGTGCAAAAGTACAGTGCATTGGTCAGTGCGTTGAGTATAGGAATTGGGAGGGCATGTTGCAACTGTACAGGACATTGGTTAGGCCACTTTTGGAATACTGCGTGCAGTTGTGGTCTCCCTGCTATGCGAAGGATGTTGTTAAACTTGAAAGGGTTCAGAAAAGATTTACATAGATGTTGTCAAGTTGGAGAGTTTGAGTTGTAGGGAGAAGCCAAATAGGGCTGGAGCTATTTTCCCTGGAGCGTCGCAGGCTTAAGGGTGGTGTTATAGAGGTTTATAAAATCATGAGAGGTAAATAGCCAAGGTCTTTTTCCCAGGGTAAGGGAGTCCAAAACTAAAGGGCATAGGTTTAAGGTGAGAGCGGAAAGATTTAAAAGGGACCTAGGGTGTAACTTTTTCACACAGAGGGTGGAGCATGTATGGCACGAGGTGCCAGAGGAAGTGGTGGAGGCTGGTACAACTACAACATTTAAAAGGCATCTGGACGGGTATATGGGTGACATGGTGGCTCAGTGGTTAGCACTGCTGCCTCAGAGCGCTAGGGACCTCGATTCGATTCCACCCTCAGGTGACTGTGTGGAGTTTGCACATTCTCCCTGTGTCTGCGTGGGTTTCCTCCCAGTGCTCCGGTTTCCTCCCACAGTCCAAAGATGTGCAGGATAGGTGGATTGGCCATGCTAAGTTGCCCATAGTGTTCAGGGATGTGCAGGCTAGGTGGGTTAGCCATGGGGAATGGGGAGGTTACAGGGATAGGGTAGGGGGATGGGTTTGGGTGGGATGCTCTTTGGAGGAATGGTGAGAACTCGATGGGCTGAATGACCTGCTTCCACAGTGTAGGGATTCTATGTTTCAATGAATAGGAAGGGTTTAGAGGGATATGCAGGCAAATGGGACTAGATGAATTTTGGGTATTTGGTCCGCACGGACGAGTTGGACCGAAGGGTCTGTTTCTGTGCTGTGTGACTCTAGAGCACCAGGTGGAGGCAGAACAGTAAGAAGTGTCACTGAACTCAAAAAAAATAGTTAACTCTGTTCCTCTTTCTCTCTCTCCACGGATGTTGCCGGGCTTGCTGAGTTTCTCCAGCAATCTCCCTGTGTCTGTTTCAGATTCCCAGCAATGCTGGAGACTTGAGTAGTCCCTCTTGCCTCCGGGGTGAATCCCTGAGGAAACAGGAGCTGGGAACAGCCCCGCCGGCGTTCAATGTTCGAGAGCAGCACTTGGACAACGCCTTTTGTCGCCACCCCCCAGGAAACCTCCTCTATAAAAATGTCTCGCCTGATGCACTTTTCAAACTAAACTTTTGTTTTGCATCTGCGCGCACAGTTGGGGGGAAATAAGAGTGGATTTAAAAAGGGGGGGGGGGGTGCTTGGTGGGAGAAGAGTTTGAGCCTTTTACTGGGTGATTTTGGGGGATATTGAGGATGTTCAGGGAGTTGCAGCGCCGTTCCTTTTGGAGGGCAGTGCTGGCTGAATTCCTGGGAATGACCATCTTTGTTTTCCTGAGCACTGGCTCGGCCACCAAGTGGACCCCCAGAGGCTACCCAGCCGACGTGGTGCAGATCTCCCTGACCTTCGGCTTGAGCATTGCCACCACGGCACAGATCATCGGGCACCTGAGCGGGGGGCACCTGAACCCAGCGGTGACCCTGGGGCTGTTAGCCGGTTGCCAGGTTAGTTTGCTGCGGGCTATCCTCTACATCGCCTCGCAGCTCCTGGGCTCGGTAGCTGCCAGCGGTCTGCTCCTGGGACTCACTCCCTCATCCAGGAACAGCACCCTCGGACTCAACGCTGTAAGTACCTTACCCTTCTCAAAGCGGTAAATAGCACCCTGGGAGCTGGTGGGGACAACAGAGAGAGAGAGAGGTGGGGGGCCGGGCTGGAGAGTCTCTTGTTGTCATATTGTTGCTCCCTTCACTTACTTAATTGGATGCAGTGTATTTTCTTTATTCACTTAGCTGGGCTACTGTTCACCGCCTGTCCCTAGTTGCCTTTGAGAATCACAGAATCCTTATAGGGCAGAAAGAGGCCGTTCACCCCACTCCTCCAAAGAGCATCCCACCCAGACTCTACCCTATCCCTATAACGTCTAAGCCACTCATCATTTGGCCTGGTAATATAATCGCCGTTCACAGAATCCCTACAGTCTGGGAGCAGGCCATTTGTCCTATCGAGTCCACACTGACCCACCCCTGTAACACTGCATTTCCCCTTGGCTAATCCACCCAGCCTACACATCCCTGAACACTACGGACCATTTAGCATGGCCAATCCACCCTAAAATGCACATCTTTGGACAGTGGGAGGAAACCGGAGCACCGGGAGGAAACCCACGCAGACACGGGGAGAATGTGCAAACTCCACACAGACAGTCGCCCGAGGGTGGAACTGAACCCGGGCCCCTGGCACTGTGAGACAGCAGTGCTAACCACTGAGCCACCATGCCACCCTAAGAAGGGCATGCTGAGCTGCCTTTCTGAACTGCTGCAATCCTGAGGGAGGGAGTTTCATTCTGGAGATGAGGGGCTGGACTCATAAAGAGCGATTGGGTAGATTTGAAACTTGGAGGGTCAATGTCGAAGGTGGTGGGGAGTGTGTGGGGTATCATTTTGAGGTGAAGGGAAGGGGATTTGAGGAGTAGCTGTGGTGGGGATGTGGGATGCACTGCGTTGGGGAGGAGATGAGGCAGGAGACTTCACAACCTTTAAAAAGTATTTGGATGAGTGCTTAAAGTGTTTTAACTTTCAAGGCTAGGGGCCAAGGGCTAGAAAGCAGGATTAGTGTAGATTGGTTCGCGCAGACTCAATGGGGTGAAGGGCATCTTGTGTGCTGTATGACTATGTGTTTAGGCTGATATTCTGTGGAATTTAGCAGAAATGAAAGGAAATCTAATTGAGGTAAATAAAATGCTAAAGGGGATTGAAAAATGTCGATGTAGAGAGGATGTTCTCTCATGTGGGGCAATCTGGAACAAGAGGTCAAGAGTTTAGGATAAGGGCTAGCAAATTCAAAACAGAGACGCGGACAAATTACTTCTCTCAGAGATTTGATTGATTTATTTATTGTCACGAAATATAGTGAAAAGCTTTGTTTACGAGCGATACAGGCAGTTCATAGTAAACAAAGGATGTACAGATCAAAAAGATATAGGCTTACAGGTTACATTGCACAGGGCGTGCCCTAGGCGAGATCAATGTTAGCAAGATCAAGCATTATTTGAGGCTAAAGGGTCATGGATCTGTGGAATTCACTCCCCCAGAGTGTGGTGGATGTTGTGGGATTGAGTAAATTGGAGGAGGACAAGACAGATTTCTAACTAATAACGCGTTGAAGGGTTATGGAGAGCGGGCAGGAAAGTAGAGGTGAAGTTGAGATGAGATCAGCCATGATCCTATGAAATGGTGGAGCAGGGTCGAGGGGCTGAATGGCCTACTCCTGCTCCTGGTTCTTATGTCCTAAACAAAATCCTCTCAGCTCACAGCTTTAAAATGTGGAACTTGAAATATATTGAACTTGTGGGCCCCACCATGAATCGTGGAATTGTTACAGGGCAGAAGGAGTCCATTCGGCCCGCTGTGCTGATACTCGCTCTTCAGAAAAGCGTCATTACCTTGAGCCATTCTACCGCCTTTTCCTCGCACACCATTCCTCTTCAAATAATCATCTTGTCCCCAGGACTGCCTCAATTGAAGACAAGATTCACCAGCATCTGCAGTTCCTACCAGCTCTGCCTCAATTGAACTTCTGTTAAGATTGCACCAAGAAGGAGGGAGAGAGGAAGAGGTTGGGGGTGGGGGAAGAGATGGGATGTTGGGGGGGTGGGGGTTGGTGAACTGATTACCGATAGTGTCAGATGATACCGTTATTCTATCAAATCAGTAATACGCGGATTTAGCCATGGGATTTAAATTTGGATGTTGCCCGTTTAGGAAAAGAAATGTGGTTGCATCGAACCGTACCTGTAGCAAAAGAAAGTCAAGAATTTGTTCGATATTTGCAACAATGGTTTTTGCGGACTTTGCATCAAAGTAAATCCATTGTATAAACATTTATCAAAGAAAGGGTAACTACTGAGAATCTGGCGTGTTGTCAGTACAGTGCTACTTGGAACCTTCTCTCCTCGTTAGAACGGTGCAGCCTGAGCCAGTGTTTTGAAAGATATCTTCCCCAAAATAAAACCCCTGTTTTTGCCGGTTGACCCTGCAACTTCACTGGAGGGGGTACAAAGGAGGTTCGCTAGGTTGATTCCGGAGTTGAGGGGGTTGGTTTATGAGGAGAGACTGAGTAGATTGGGATTATATTCATTGGAGTTCAGAAGATTGAGGGGGGATCTTATAGAAACATATAAAATTATGAA